ATGTTTGATCTAATATAAATTTCTCTTTACGCCCTAATCTAAGTGATATGCACCTCGAAAACATATGCATCGAGATTCGTAAGTCTCGATCTAAACTCTTTTTCATTGCTACCTGGTAGAGGCCTCCTAATTCATCAACTGAGATACTTTCTCATTTTGAATCCTTTGTTGGCAAGCTTGGCACGGAGAACGTTGAGGTTTTTTTTTAATGGATGACTTTAACTTTAATTTGGCTTCTCCGCAACCTGATATCAACAGAGTGTTGTTAACCAATATTGTTAATATTTATAATCTTCAACAACTAATCGATAGTCCAACTCGCATTACTAACACATCTTCTACTCTGACTAATGTTATTTTTAGAAATTGTCTGAATAAATATTGTTTCCGCTGGTGTGTCCCATGTAAGCCTAAGTGATCATAGTCTCGTCTATGCATGCCGTAAGATCTCCATCAATTCATCTAAAGACCATTCTACAATAACAAAATGTTATTATGTAACAAATAAATAAATAAATACAAAAGTGAAAGAAATACCCACCCGCAATTTCGACTCCGCCAAGTTTCGCTACGATATTTCAACACAAGATTGGGACAGGGTACACAGTTCTGATGACCCAAACGTTATGTGAGACATTTGGAAAAATCTGTTTTTTTCAATGCGTTGGATAAGCACGCCCCACTGTGTACAAAACGCATTCGGGCATCTAAATCACCCTGGATCACAACTCAGTTGAAGCAAAGAATACATTATAAAGATGTTCTCAAAGTGAAGGCCATTCGTTCTGGGAATGCATATGACCGGATGATCTTCAAAAAATTTCGCAACGCTGTAAACAGTGAAATCAAACAAGCCAAGGAAAAATTCTTCAAAAATGCGATATGTGAAAACCAAGGTAATTCCCGTTTGACTTGGCGAATAATTAATAAACTTACTTCGATAAAAATCCACAGCTCTTCTGTAAAAGGGATTAAATTAGATAACGGTAGCATAAGCGATCCCCTGGAACTTTCGTCTGCTTTTAATGATCATTTTGATACTTAAGCTTTCTTGAGAAACGTCAACAGCTCGTGATTTACAATAGTTTTCGAGGACAGTGGAAATGTGTTAATAGGGGAACTACTCAGGGTAGCGAGAGTGGGCCATACTTATTTAGTATTTTTATTAACGATCCAGAAAGCGTCGTTTCTTCGTAGGACGATGGCAACTCTCGGTGAGTTAGAATTTACTTGTTTCAATGAAATAAATGTAATTAATTCCTTCTAAGCATAGTTTCATTCTAATTTAATTCCCAAACAAGCTCACATACACAAGATAAATCTGAAGACGCAACATGTCACTGACTTGTAAGCTTCGGGAAGTCTTCTTTATTCATTTCAAAGAAGTGAGCTTAACTCGTGAACGTGTCTTCTTCGTGAATTTTATATGTCTAATTTCATACTGCAGCTTGAGTAACTGTATTTTCAGAAGTTTGGTGGGCATTAGATCATGCATCTGGGGAGACTCTGAGACTGAGAATGAAATTTTGTTTGGCTTTTTTGTGATGTTTTTGCAACTTTGTTGTCATTTTTTAGATGACATGTTTCTCTTACTTTCTAGATCTTTCTGAGCTCCTGATGAGAAGGGCAATCACCCTATTCTTATTGCGTGATTCTTATTGCGTGATTCTTATTGCGTGATCCTTACTGCTGTTCAATTAAGAATTTGACTTTGAGGCCGACCATTTTTAAAACTTTTGAAAGGGGGTTTGCTCGTGTGAGAATTTTTCTCCCAAACCTCTGGTAATAGAATTCTTTTCCTAACATACCACAGTGCAAGATTTTTTTCCAGCATATATGCTGTGAAATATATATTTTTCTTTGTAGGATTTTTTTTTTGCCAGTTGTTTCCCTGTAATAATTTCCCCCCTCAAAATCAGGCTGCAGGATATTTTTTACTGAAATTACCCATTTTCGAATGACATTAGATTTTGTTAGACATTTAAGAAGAAACACTAGCGAGAAAAACACACAACGTTTCGATGACTCCATGTCATCATTCTCAAATGAGAAGAGAATAAAAATGAATAGTTAATTTATACCGTACGAAGGTGGCAAACGTAAAAAGTTTAAAATATTTAAAATATTTAAATAAATAATTGCGCGTGTTGAGTTCATAAATGTAAACTATTAAATAAATAGTTTCGCGCGTATGGAATCCGATTGTTTGTTCAAAGAACGCGCGAAACTATTTATTTAATAGTTTACATTTATGAACTCAACACGCGCAATTATTTATTTAAATATTTTAAATATTTTAAACTTTTTACGTTTGCCACCTTCGTACGGTATAAATTAACTATTCATTTTTATTCTCTTCTCATTTGAGAATGATGACATGGAGTCATCGAAACGTTGTGTGTTTTTCTCGCTAGTGTTTATTCTTAAATTACCCATATCCCTCTTAAAAGTCAAATGGTTGACCCCTTATGTTTCATAACTAGCAATGTAAAACTAGTTAGTTGATAATCAGAGGCTCCTTGTGTAATCCATATTTTCATTTTATATCACTGCAAGAAGAATATGAAATCAGGGGGAAGTGCTTGCGGTGGAGAGAGAAAGTGAGATTCGAATTTTAAAAAACAAGAGGATATAGAAGGAAAAAAAGGAAAAAAAGATTCTGGAAAAGCAGCCCAGATCAAGAGCACTGCTGTAAAAACCAAGTGAGTTGCTGCCAGCTGCATTTAATGGATGGGCAGCTATGCCGCTTGGAAGACAAGATTTTGCAAAACAGCAAATAATTATGTGTACTGTAAATTTTTTTTCACAATAATGGCTGTGGCTTCCATGGAGGGGAGGCAGATATTTCTAACAATTATTATCATAGTTGAAACTTAAAAGGTGGAGGGCTTTTCAGGAATGGAATTTGCTCTAATAAAATCAAAGAGAACCATTATATAACATCTCAATTTA